AAAGGCTAGCTTATCTAGGTCTACTAGAGTCGAATTCGCGAGGGGGATTCTTATAGCCCCGAGCTCTATGATCTCTATAAATCGTTTAAGCTTATTATCTATTATTACCTATACCTTACCCGGCTAAGTCAGAGCTAGCCTAACGTCGGGCAAGGTTAGGCTAAGTATAAAATAATTAGAGCTAATAGCGAGATAATCCTTAATAATAGCCTCGGCTAATAGCATATTTATAAAGGCGAGATTAATCGTATTGCTATATAGGTTTATTAGAATATCTAGAGAATTAAGTAGGTTTAGATTATTTTTTAATAACTAGGCTATAATCTCTTACCCGTGGTTAATAGTAAGGCTTATCTATTAACTATAATATCTAGCATTAAAGTCGCTAGTAATAAGGCAATATCTTAGGATAAGCTACTATAGTAATATCTCTAAGGTATTATGCTTATTATTCTAATAATAGAAGTTAACTATCGTTATACTATTAATTACTAGCTAGAGAATATCTCGAGTCTAAAAGGGCCTAATTTAATTAGCTAGGAGCTTTAGGTCTCTTCGGATATATATTATAACTCTCGGCTAAGTATTATTATTATCCTATATCTCGATAGGTATAAATATATTATATGCCGGGTAGGTTTTAGTTAAGGAGCGGCTATCTATATAGGCTATCTATAGCTCTTATAGAAAGATAATATTATATTATTTAGAGTCGGCTAGCGCTAGGGCATAGTTATAGGCTAGAAGGATCTTACCGATATTAGCCTAGAAGATCCTAAGCGGCTTCCTATTATTCTTTTAAGTCTATAAGTACTTATTCCTAATTATAAGTATGGGTAATAAGTACTATTCGATATTTCCTTAGTGAGCCTAGTCTAGGTTATTTAGGCTCCTCCTCCCCTTCGTAGCTGGCCTAGGGGGTTATAGCTATTATAATATACGAAGGTGCGCCTAATACTATTAGACTTAGAGTATGAATACTTGGCTATTTAGATAATATATTATTATTTCTTTATAGAATAGTCGCGTTATCTTATTAAGTTTCTAGTCGTAATTCTAGGTAACGTTATTAGTATATCTATGTGCTTATTGCCTAGATATATTCTTATTACTCTCTGGTAAGCCGGCGGAAGACGCTATATATTTTCCTCGGCTGAGTAGGGTACCCTCGGGAGCTAGCTAGATAAGGACCTAAGCAATTAATATATTACTCTAATATAGCATAGTCGTCTATACTATATCTAGTCTTACCGCAGCGTTAGTAGACTAGCTATCTATAGTAATTATAGGCAAAATAGTAGTCCTAGTATGTTTTATATTATCTAAGGCGGTTAGTCTTATCGAGAAGTCTAGCCGCGTGGCTATTAAAAAGAGACTAATATCTTTTTATAGGCTTTAAGAAGGATATAAGTAAGGTCTTAGTTAAGGGGTTATCTGAAACTTATTATATAGGATATATATTAATAGGCTTAAGTCTAGTCTAGATTTCTATCTCGTCGCTAATAATATTATTACTATCTACCTTATTACTATGAAAGTTAATTAATTTTATAGGAAAGTCTAAGACTATATAGGTGAATTATTCTTTATTTATTTTTACTATTATAGCCCTTAATTTAGCTGCCTACTTAGCCTATTTTTCTATAAGGAAGTTATAAGTCTTAAGGTTAATAGTCTAGATGGCCTATCTAGACTTAACTTAGAATACTTATTAAATCTTATTTAAAATAGTATTAAGTTTCTCCCGAATAAAGGTCTGGATCGCATAGCTACTTTAAGCCCGGGCTAGAGCTTTGGCTTCTAGATAGATAAAGATATAGAGATCTTATTAGGGTAGGGCGGCGGTCGTTAGTTGCCTTTGATAATAAGGTGGATAAATCTGTTAGCGCTATTATTATTGCTAATGATATTACTAAGGCGGGTAGGTCTAATGGTCGCTTATAATAAGAGGCGAGGCGGTAATAATACTATTTGTAAAAGACTGAAGAATAGAGGCTATATAGTCTTCAAAGACTATAGGGTAGGTAATAGAGATAGGAGGTGAATAGGCAGTGGAATCAGTCTTAACAAATAGCTGATTAGCTAGGTAGTAAATCATTGGCTAATAAAAGTGGGTCACAAAGTAAATAGAGGTATAGGGTAGAAGGCCAGCTTCTTATTGGTGGTCTTGTTGCTTGTATTAGTTGTATGTCTGTCTAGCTATTTCTAAGAGAGGGTTTATAGCTTATATAGCAAATTGCTCGGAATCTATTAGCCCGATTCGGATAGAAGTTATATCGTCGGATAGCCCTAATTCCGGGCTTTAAAACCCTATTAGTTTTACTAGTAATGGATAACTAGAAGCCGAGTTATAGCATAATAGAAGTTAAAACCTATAGGGTTTTAAACTAGGATATTTAAAACCGGATAGGAAATACCCTATAGAAGGAGACGGGTTTAACGGCGTTATCGGGCTTATGATAAAACCCTAAGTCCGAGATCACGTGACCTTCCTAAAAAGGGAAATAAGCCCAGAAAGGGCAATATTAACACTCCCTTATATCTTGCTTATCTAAGCAGCTACTGCTTAGATAAGCCGTTTATGGGAAAGCGCATAAGCTAAAGTATAGGGTAATAAAATCCTAGGCTTATATCTTATAAGCTTATTTTTCTAGAATTTTATTTATAAAAGACCTTCTTAGAAATAAGGTATTTTATACTATTATATGTGGGCTTAGAGGTAGATCTATTATTAGAGAGCTCTTGCTTCTAGGAGTTAAGGAAGCTATTAGCAAATTATTAAGCGAAATGCCATTGCGGTCTAGTAATAAATTACTAGGCGGCTTCTTTAAACTTAGCGTAAAAGGCCTAGAAGACTATTAACTTAGTATTATATTCTTTAATGCGCTTACGCGCGAGATTATTAGCCGATTCAATAATAGAAATTAGTCATTATTTAAGGATTAATAAGGGGTATTTACGTATAGTTCCTTTTATAGCTATAGTAGTAGTAGCGGTAATAAGTAGTAAAGATAGTATCTAGGCCGTCCGCCCGGGTCTAGGTGAAATACCGACGGGGGCATTAATGGCCGCCGGGCTATTCTGTAAGAGGGCTGCATAGGCTCTTTGATTAAGGTTAGCGGGAGTATAGATCCCTAGATCAAAGGGGTCTAGGGTAATAAGCGGGCTCATTATTAACGAAGCCATCGCCGCAGCTTATAGCTACGTAAAGCGCAGATTAGGATATTTATTATACACTTATTAAGGAATTAGGTATAGATAGAGCTACTTTCTTAATACTTATATGCTAAGAAAGTATGATGATAAAGGAAGGTGTGACTTAGTAGGATAGAGGGTGGCTATTTCGATTTAGGGTAGCAAGGTCGCGAGTAATAGTAAAACCTCCCAGAATAGACTCGTTTAACTTTGTGTACGGATAAAACGGGGTGGAAAATTATTATTATTTTGTTATTATGGGCGATAGAAGGTACTTAGGGTATACGCTATTTCACAAGGAAACCCAGGTATTTTTAAACCCTATCTAAAAGGCAATTGATAGGGACGCACCACGAATTAATAGGGGCGCATCCGCCTTAGGGACGCGCCAGCTTTTATAATATCTAATTGGGCTAAATTTTCTAGACCTATAAATACTTCCCCGTGAAGGCGGTAAAGCTAGCTCTCTTAACAAGCCTAGTTCTTCCCAGCCCAGAAGCAACTTACGTCAGGCCAATCCTCCTAGAATAAGTCGCGTTTAAGTGCCAACTCAGTATTATTTACGATATAGAATCAGAGCGATTCCATTAAGAGTAATTACCTACGAAGCCCTTGCGATCTATGGGGCCATAGAGCGGTCATAAAGGTCTATGGATAAGATGCGAAGAGGTTTGCGATTATATCTCCGTCGCCGACTCCGTAGTATTAGCCGATACTTATTCCATTGCTACTCGCTGAATGAGGTCTATTCGCGAGAAATAGTGGGCTGAAACTAGCTTATCGACTCTGCCGCCGTCGTTTTCGGGTACGCGATTCGCAGCTAAGACCGGGGCTTCGAGTTCGACGTCTTGAATTACTCTCTAAGCTAAAAGGTAACTTAGATTAGAGTATGATGAAAGACCCGGTAGTTAATGGTTGAGAGACTCATAGTAGATCATCCGCTTATTTAGATTAAGAGCCAAGCTCGAGGTACTTCGGGAGCGTCGGCAGAATTCTGCCTATACTAACAGAAAAGTAGCTGACGAATCAGAGGCTACAAACCTGGCGCGTCCCTAAGGCGGATGCGCCCCTATCAATTCGTGATGCGTCCCTATCAATTGCCATCTAAAATTTCCATTCCTTTCCACAATTTTCCACATATGGAACATATCGAAGGGACTCCGTGGCGTAGATATAGAAATGCAGAAGCCCGCGTGGAATGGAATGGAATGGATATAGATCCACATTATGGATCCATATGTGGATTTCGTGGTATGGATTTGAACCCTGCACCCAAAGGTAAAGGACTTTCAAGGACAAATTTTATCAGGCGGAATTCACGGCATGACTGGAATCATGTTTCCTTTCAACATTTGATCTTAGATGCCTCTATTAACAGGCTAACGTTGGGCTGCCAGGTTGAGGTTCCAAACAAAGTATAGGCCTACTGGCTTCCGTGAGTTGGCAACTTGCACTAAGGGAACCCATTCAACACCTCCAAAGTTGCAGAAATCACTAACTTGATAAACGAGTCTCTTCATCCTTGTTCATGGCATAGTCAAATGGGTTGTCGCATTAGTCCGTGAAAGCCGCCCCAAGGCCCAGTTATCTGAGAATCTTGGCATGAAAGAAGCGGGTCTTGTTTTGTTCTCCCGCAGTTGCTCGGCGATGATGCGATGGCGCCGATGAAGATCACTGCTACGGCCCTCGGCGAATGTTACCGTGAGACCGACGAAGTGTTGCATTTAAGAACCCTTGACGTGGCCTTGACTTGTGTGAGACTGTGGATGTCCTCTTAATATACATCCTGGTATTCCAACTTGAAAATGTCAAGCACAGCAACAATCAGCCAAATTGCACAGATTGCTAGTCAGCATGGAGATCTACAGCTCCGAGACACAGCCCATGATGCTGAATCCAACCGTGTATATGTTCCGGTTTACTCCAGATTTGGCAACGCTCAAAAGAGATCCATGACTGTATTTCTTGCGTACTGTGGTCTGGTCGCCACCACCTCAACAACCAGCATCCTCACTGCAATACCGGAAATCGTTGACAGCTTTCACATCAAAGCGACCATCGTTAGCGGGAGCAATGCGGTGTGCCTCTTGTTCATGGGCTTCTCTGCCTGCTTCTGGGGTCCATGGGCCGACACATTTGGACGCAAATCAGTATGTTCTTTTACTCCTGAAGCGGCACTTTTGCTAAGCATCAAGAGTAGGCATATCTCGGCAGCACTGCTCTGTTCTTCTTGAGCTCGCTCGGCACAGCACTCTCCCAATCTCTGGAAGCATTCTTCTTCTTCCGTGCACTCTCAGCTTGCCAGGGAAGTGCGTTTCTGGTTCTAGGGTCAAGTAGTATTTCGGACATCTACCACCCAGTAGGTTCTGTCCCGCCATTCCTCTGGAGGAGGCTAATGAATCACAGACAGAGCGAGCAACATCACTTGGATGGTTCTTGACCGGTGTAATGGTCGGCCCTGCATTTGGACCAATTCTCGGCGGCATTATTGTAACCTTTACATCCTGGAGAGTCATCTTTTGGTTACAGATGGCTATGTGTGGCTTGGCTCTTCTCATGGGGTTATTTGTTCTCCAAGAAACCCTTCAGCAGCCTCGGTTTTTGGAGCTCAAAGGCCGGGGATTCCGAGATATTTCGGCAACTTTTTGGCAGTGGACAAACCCAATAGGGATTATCAAGTTATGGGGCCACAAGAACCTGTTATGCGTGGTAGGATATCCTGCTTCTCTTCGTTTCTTCTAGCTGACACCAACTAGAGCTTGGCTTCGTCAGCCTTGGTTTGGAACATGTACTCACTACTAACCCCCATCCGTATCGTGCTGAATCCACGACTCAACCTTACAAGCCCTTTGGAGTCTGCACTGCTTTACATTGCACCCGGAGCAGGATACTTCGTCGGTACTCTTATTGGAGGCCGGTGGGCTGATCGAGTCGTCAAGCCTTGGGTGCGCAAGCGCGGCGTCCGGGTGCCCGAAGACCGTCTCCGTAGCAGTTTGGTATTCATGGGCGTTATACTCCCGAGTTCGATGCTCCTGTACGGATTGGCTGTAGATCAGAGGATTGGTATTGTACCTCTTCCTGTGATCTGCATGTTCTTCCACGGAGTTGCACAGCTGGCTGCTTTTCCCAGTTTGAACACTTACATTCTCGATGTAATGCAGCGTAGAAGCGGTCAGGCTTCAGGTAAGTAACCGCAATTCTGACTTCGCAACAGTTCTAATCACTTACAGCAAGTCATTATCTTATGAGATATATGTTTGCCGGAGTTTCCACTGCTTCCTGCTTGCCGATGATTGATAGCATCGGAGTGGGTTGGACATCAACCATCTCATCTGCAATGCTCTTTATCTGCGCCGGCCTTGTGCTTCTCACTATTTCGGCTGGTAAAAGTTGGCGCGAGGGTCCTTCTTCCGAGGATTGATATCGTGTTTGGTCTGTCAAGTTCATCAAGGAAACTACCGTCATCTTTCCAACCAAGTCGCTGGCACTGCGTCCAAGAAGGCTCAAACGTATCTACCTAGGTAGACATCGAATATCAAAACCTTTCCAACAGCTTCCAACCCACTACTGATGCTTTTGCAATGATGAAAAAGATCATGCTCGCTCCATAAAGCGCCCCAGTAAAGACTATCAATCCCCAGTAGTTCCCACCACATGCATTTACGACGCTTCCTCCAATAGGCATGCCTACTAGACACGCGATGCTCACAGCTGTAAAGCAGGTGGCATAATACCGGCTGTAGCTTTGCGTGGGACAAAGTCGACCAATGCAGGCCGGTGTGATGTTGATGTTATTGCCTCCAGCGAAGCCTATGGAGAGCAAACACAATGAGACCAGGAAGCTTCGGCCCAAAGGGTAGCCATACCACGAAACAGGTGAGGATTGATAAGAATACCGCCGCCATATTGGAGTTGAATGGGCTAATACGATCCGCCCACCAGCTTGGCAGCATGCGCCTAAAGAATGACCCGGCATTCATCAGAGTAAAGGATTTGGAAGCTAAGCTTCTCGCTGAAACCCTGGGCCACGGCATAAGAGCCGATATAACCAATGGGGATAAAGAGAGCAAACTCCATTAAGAAGACGGCGACTATGGTGAAAAAGAATGGTTTCTCCTTGAATATGTGGATATCCGGGTGAACACTAGCGTTTTTCGGCGGCTACAGTCGTGAACGAATAAGGAGATTGGCAATAACCATGAGACCTAGCTATAGGAAGCCTAGGACTCGCACAGCCCACGCCTAACCCAAGAACGGTATCAAGTTTGAAGTAAACGGGAGAAGACAATGCCCCCAATTGAATCTCCAGAACTTGCTATCCCGGTTGCGAGCCCTCGACGTCGACGGAAGAAATGGCCTACGGCAGCAATGCAGGGAGTAAATAGTAGAGAGCATCCAGTGCCGTTGAACACTCCGAAGACAAGGACGAAGTGCCAATACTATGAAATGTGGTCAACCTCGGGGTCAGGGTAGAGTAGGCTTACAACAAACCCGTACAGATGCTTAACAGCATGAGGCTCGAAGAAATACAGATGGCGGCGGCCAGGACCAACCATTCTATTCTACTTTTTCAATGACGCACTTGTCAGACACATAATCAAAAAACACACAGAGACACACACGGCAACATCAAAACCCAATGCTGCAAAACACCGTAAACCTAAGATAAAGTTAAGCTTCTATAGCCATAGAAACCTAATAGTGGAATGATGAGGCTCGCAGTGCAAGATGCCACCTTTCCTTTTCCCGCAAGAGGATATATTTGCTGGTTTGTTCCTCTGGCTTGCCATCGACACTTCCATCGTCTCCATTGTCCTTCTTCATCAAAATGACCGCTACTTCAACGCAAAGAGTCCCGATCTCCCCCGGCGGCACGGAACTCGACGAGTGGTACAACGACACAAGCGCCCAAGTCACACCAATGAGTTGGCGCGAGAAACGACAGTTCCAGAGGGAACTCAGACTGGCCGGGCTCTTTGGCCCTAGACGCGGCCCTGGACGCGGCCCTCTGTCTTTCAACAACCTCACCGATGAAGTGCGAGACGCTCTAGTTCAATTCCACAATGCCCTGGTCAGGCATACAGAAACCGACGAAGACCGACTTGAATATCTCGACAAGCAGCAAGACGGACTTAAGGACCTAGCGAATAAGCTGTCAAAAAAGGAGGACCTCGGCGCTAAAGAGTTCTTCCTAGCCGATCTCGTCGCATGCACGAACTGGTTCAAGGAGCTGTTGAACCTGGTGGAGGATCTGCGGCCTCAAGGATAAGGATGACAATTCGGACCGGGATTGGTGGCGGAGGCGATTATTCGGTTTGGTGACGGTGGCAGAGATAAGGTTGTCAGGAAAAGCTTGATTGTTAAGGGGGTTTTTCACGGGGGGTTGGAAAGGTTAAACACGCTTTGCAGGAAGAGACCTGACTTTGATACACAATAAATCCGAACACACCGCAGGACCAACCATCTAGGCCTGAACTTGTCAAATACCGGACCAATGTGCACTCCGCCAAAGAAAGCCAGGAACGTATATATCGAGAAAATCCATCCGACACTGCCTTCATCGCGGCCATCCAACTGGTGCTTGGAAACATAGGACTGGAGTGCCGCTATCGTATTCGCGATGCCCAATGCTGCAAAACTAATTGACTTATTAAAGTGAGCTTCTTTAGCGGCGGATAACACGACTTACAGGCCACACCAAGCACCAAAGACTACGAGCCAAGCACGGAGGCCACCCTCTGGAAATTCTGCTTCCGGTTGTTCTTTGGGGAAGGAGTTATCATCAGAATCCGAAGCAGAAGCTGATGATCGTTCTGTTGTTGCCAACGGTGGTGAGGCCGACTTCTCCGTCCCAAATACCATTGTAACGGCTCGGCGTGATCGTGCTGAAGAAAATCGGTTATGCTGATGCACGGAACGAAGGCCTTGAGGGTGCAGCAAGAAAATCAAGCCGATGCGTGCAAATTGATGGAAGGAAACAAGAGACCGCCACCTCTTTCTTCTCAAACTCTGCACTCTTGATTCCACTTTTCGTCAAATCCCCGACATTACCCACAACCTTGCCTCATACCTCGAGAGTGCACCATAGATAGGGCTCAAAGGTCGGGCGGGTTCCGAAACCGGGCGCTTATTTTGACTTGAATCGGAGGAAATGGGTCTTGGCTAGAAAACTCCGAGTCTTTGCGAACAACACCAATCATAGGGAGAAGAGCGTGTGAATAGGGTGCCCTGAACATGTTGATATGTCAACATCTACTACTAGGGCGCAACCGGCCCACACGTCGCCATCCCAGCCGGGCAGTTGGAGGACAGGCCAGTGGCACAGGTAGTACTGGGGGAGGCCTCATTATTGTTATCGGCTTGTTGGCAAAGAAACAGGTCTGGGATGTGGACAGGGTCGGCGATTCAACTTGGCTACTTTCAACAACATAGTCGCCAAATGCATTCTTAGATGCATTTGAATGTTGAGCAGGTCCTTGAGTTCTTCTGAAGTAAGATAATGTCTGGTTGAAGATTCTGATGGAAATAAGGCTGCCCTTGGCCATTCCAAGGCCAAAGAAGTTGATGATATCTTATGAATAGTATTGTTTAATTTACTCTTACTGTCAATGACTAGCCGGGCATTAGCTTAGCTCCTGAAACCCCCGTTGCTGTCTACAATGTCACCTTGCCTCTTGCGCGCTCCTGTTCCCGTCTAAGGCGCCCTGTTTGACTGTAAGGCGTGTGATCCCCCCAACACAGCCGCTGTCCTCTATATAAGTCCTCGGGAGAATTCCACCGCTCTCACTTCCTCACTGTTTCTCCCATAACCCACGAGTGCGGTCAAGACAATGCGCTATATGCTTTTGTTGGATATCACAAGTGTGAGGCGACCAAGTCGGTGGCAAGGTGTGGAAGAAGGAGGAACATTCTACAAGAGATCGTGCCTGTACATAAACAGTTGTTCCCCTACTGCACATTTAGAAGGAAAAAAGCAATCTGAATCTTCTCATTTCAACAGCTTTCGGCCTGATCATCAGTTCCCGCTATCTCCCCCAAGGGGTAGGCGCTGAAGATTCGACGCCAAGACAACACCATCATGCCATGCACGATTCAATTGCATAGTGAAAGGTCGAAATGTGGCTAATCAAGTCATTCATTGCGGCGCTGATAACATCTCATCCTCAAGGTGATCATTCATGAAGAATATGTCGCACTGAGCGTGCTAAAAGGATCAAGGGCCAGGTAAACGATAATAAGCAGCAGCAGTGTGCTAATTGATTGTTATCTGAGGTTATCTCTTGTGCGGGGTACTCTATCCCGCAGAGTTACTTAAAGCATACAGCTAGATTACTAACATAGTTGTTTCCTGAGGCCGTGAAGATCATGCCTACCCATCAGTATCAGTATTAGTATTTATTACGCCCGGGAGAACGGATCTCATAGGGCCGGTGGCTACGCTAAGCTATCTTTGCTTCCCCGCTATTCGTCCGCACTACCTAAGAGAGCCCTACTCTTACCAGCTCGTCTCCTTTCTAGCCCCGCTTACTTAACTCTACTTAATAGGCCTACTTAAAGGCCGATTTCTCTAAGTATTTAATATCCTATCCCTAGTAGCTAAAGTATAGTCTATTAACTTAAGGCTATTTAATATTAATAATTAACTATAATATTAGTATTTAATATATTTTATTTCCCTTTTTACCTTAGTCTTCCCATCGCTATTATAAACTTAACTACCGCTTATACCGCCTCTAGGTTAAGTACCTATTTAGGCCTATCTAATACTAACTTTTTACCTAGAAAGAAGGAAAGGTTTCTTAATATACTTTATCCCGCTTATTATATAACTTTATATTCGGTATCCTATCTCGAGTATTAAAAAAGGAAGTACTCTATTATCTCTAGTGCATATCCGCACTTATATATATCTAACTTTGCGGCTCTTATCTTACTTAGGTAATTATTAATCCTCGCTATTCCTATATAAAGCTACGAAAATATATTAGCTTCTTATCTCTTTAGGCTATTATAAAGCGCTTTTATATACTTACCTAATAGGGCCTAGTCGATCCGCTTAGAATAGCCGCCTACTCTATCAGGTAGTCTTTATTACTAGCGTAGCTACATTACTATTAATCTAGTCTAAGTAAAGCGGGCCTAATATAATAGCGATTACGGCCTATATTCTACCTTAATTACTCTCTGCGCTTATCTCTTTGCCTTATAGCCGATGCCGAGACTATCATCCCGGGATAATATCTATATTATCTTAACCCTATTATTTCCTTTTGCTAATCATTCGATATACTCATAGATCTACTAGATAGTAAACTAGCTAGATTACTATCGCAGCCATGCAATTACTTTTAGTAATAACTAACTACTTAATAATACCATAAGTTCTTAATATTATAGCCTATCGGGTATATAATATAATGCTATTACTATTGCCTCTAGCTCGGCCGTATATAGGTTCTAGTCGTCTCGCGACCTGATAGTAACCGAGTATCTGGCTACTATCTTATCTAGCCGGTTCGGCGATCTATGGGCTATAACGCTACCTATGCCTATAAGTCCTTCTCTATCAGAAGCACTAGTCGTAATAATAATATCGTTGGCGCTTTTAGCTACTATTATCGCCGCGTTATGATTAGCCTCGCATACCGTCGATATACGGCTATGCCACGGTGGCACCGTATAAGCCTAGATCGTTTCTATCCGCTTGATACCGCTCCCTTCGTGCGTAAGTGCTAGTCGCTTTAACGGTGATATGTATCTTCGACTCATTGACGCCTGGAGTGTTGCGAGCGGATGCGTCTTTGGCAGGGTCTGGATGTTGATATATAATCTCGAGCCTGCCTGGGCGTGTCGCTCGCCTACCGTCTGAATGCTAGCTTCCGCTTCTGCCACTGCTATCGCGACCGTTCGAAAGGCGCCTGTGATGGCTCGTGCTCCCATCTTCTGAGCCCTGTTGAACCAGGTCAGTTCTCTTTCACCCCGTGCGTGCGACCACACGACGGAGGCGTAGTCCATGGCCGGCGCTACGGTTGACACGAAGAGCTATCTAGCCGTACGCGGGGATAGCATCTTCAGTCTCCTCAGGCACATGGCCGCCGAGAGACCCTTGGTGGCGGCCTCGGCCATGTGCTTCTTGAACCTAAGCTTCGTGTCCATGACCACTCCCAAGATCTTGGCCTTCTGCTTTGGTTTGACTTCTTCCCCTTTTATCGTAAACGGTGTGTGGCTGGTGCGCTCGGCGACGCGTGTGAAGTGCACGATGGTTGTCTTGTCGCACTCAAACGTCGCTCCGCTACGCCTCTCCCACGCTAGTGCACGGTCGATGATGGTCTGTATGCCGTCTCTGTTCGCTTCTGCCGTTGGACCTGTGACCCAGGCTGAGTAGTCGTCGACGAACGCGATCGAGCCTCCCCTTGAGTCTATCCTACTCTGCACCAGGTCTGCATTGAAGAAAAGGAAGAGAACTGGCGACAGTGGTGAGCCTTGCGGGAGGCCCGCCTGCGGCAGCTCCTGTAACCCAGAGGTATAGCCGTTCACCGTGATGGTGGCCCTGCGGTCCGAGCAGAACGTATCTATCCACCTGACCAGTTTCTTGGGTATACCTCGTGCTTCTAGCCTCTGCATCAGCCTGTCCTTGAATACACCGTTATAGGCTCCCTTGACGTCAAAGCTAACCAAGCTGACCACTTTGCGGTTCCGCCATGCTTTATAGACCTGTTCCTAGAAGAGCAGTAATGCCTACTCTGCCGACCGCTGCTTTCTTGCGCTAAAGTGGTTAGTAGGCAGCAATCCATACATTTCGACAGCGTACGAGATACGGTCCACTATTACTACTTCGAGAATCTTACCTAGTATTAATAATAGCGAGATTAGTCTCTATGATTTTACTTTCTTATAATTATCTTTACTTAGTTTCTTAAGCGAGATAATCTTAGTAGTCCTCTACTAGTCTAGTAGTTATCCTTTGCCTAGTAATATATGAAATAGATATAATACCTGCTCCTTTACTACCGGCCATAGCTACTTCTATATTATAGCCAGTAGCCCGTCTTATCTAGGGGCTTTCTATGCTTTGGCTTCTATGACCTTTTCTTTGACCTCCTCTATCGTTAGGTTCGGCATAGCTACTTCCCTACGCCGCAATCGGCGGCCTTTATCTTCTATACTAGCCGGTAATAGTAGGAAGAAGACACTAAGGAGCTTTTCCGCTTATTCAGCCTTATCCTATATTATTATCCTATCTGCTCTTCTTAGCAGAGGCACTTAGTTACTATTTGTTTTATCTCTGGTTTTAGGTACTTAGTAGCTTACTAGATAGTAGTCTTATCAGCGAGGAAGTCTTCTTAGTATGCCCTCTTTTATCTTTTAATAGCATTATAATACTCTTTGGCTACTTCTTTAGCTTAGTTTTCTAGGTTCTTATTTTACTAACTAGCCCGACGCTAGGCCCTTGCTAAGTTCCTCTAGAATATATATATTCTATAAAGCCTTATAAGATTAATTATCTATTATCTCTTTACGTATAATAATAGCTTTGCTTATAGAATTAGTTTATTAATCGCATCGAGGATTACCTCTATTAATTTATCTATCTATATCTAGACTCCGCCGTTCTATAAGAATAATACGAGCTTATTATTTATTCTCTCCCTAATTATATTCTACGGTATATTCTTAAATAATAGCCTCGGGCTCGCTATCCTCTTAGGCGTTATAAGGTTAAACTCGGTTCGGATCGCCCTATAGTCTAATCTATGTTTAGTCAGGTAGATGCCGCAATGGATTATCTTATCTGCTAGCTCGGTCGATGTAAGCATCAGGTCGATATAAGCATTAGGTCGATCGTGCTCTCGTAGTCCGCTCCTTCCCATGTCTTTGTCCCTCGTGGTAAGAGGCTAAGCAAGCCATGCTCGTCCATAAGGTTAATAATCGGGCTTACTTTGCCTTGCCTCTTGCCTATTACTTTATCGCCTCCCTAGAGCTAGTCATAGCGGTTAAAGTTATTAGCTAAGGTAATATTTATTCTTTTCCCTATATTATTACGAAAATTTATAATTATTATATATAATTATCTTATAGTAATATATAAAGTATCTTTATCTTTTCTTATTATATATATTAATATTATTAAGACTTCTCGGTTAAGCTATTTAAGTATTGCCCCGGTTAGGTTAGCTAAAGGGATAAGCACTTACTTAGTCTCTAGATCGCTATATATCTAGAGTATACTCCGGATCGGCTATTATATCTTATATCTCTTTAATAATATAAATCTTATCTAATTCTTATAATAATTTAGTATTATTATTAGTATCTTATCGATATTTAGCGTATATAGCTCGGCTACCGCTAGTACTATATAGTCCTATAAATCTCTATTATTTATTATACTTAGCTATATTATATCTCTCTTCCGCATATTAAGCTATAAGATCTAGAGGTTAGTAGCTATCGGTTATATATAGTTATCGCATCTAATAGTTTTAGCTAAGTAATTTATATAGCCCTCTATAGAGAATATACTTTAGCTTAATTACCTAGTAGTCTTAGTATTAATAGCCTATCCCTATATACTTATTATATTATTATGCCTTACTATATATAAAAGCTTTATAGCTAATCTCTTAGTAATTATAGCATTAAGCTAGGCCTTAGCGCCGCTTAAAGATATTAGTATTAGCTAACTCTTTTATAAGGTAGAAATACCCCTCTTTAAATAGCTATTATATATTACTCGCTTTAGTAATATAGATTACGATCGAGCTATATATCTTATTATTTACCTTATCGCTAAGCTAATATATCTTAGTAATTATTACCTTATTTTCTTTCCCTAGTGCCTTCGCTATACTTAGTAGTATATTACTAAATAAGTCTAATACTATAGTCTTATTTATACTATTAACCTTAACCGGGTATAGCTAGTCTCTAAGTACTCTAGCGCCCTTAACTACTATCTTCTCCGCCGCCTCTCTAATAAGCTATATCTCTACTTCGTCTCGGCATACTATCTTAATGCGGTCTATATTCCTCGCGTCTTTTACTATAGCTATATACCGCTAGCTCTATTGGCTTTCCCTGGCCCATACTTTCTCTTTGATCGCTTAATAAATTTCTCTGACTTGCGCCTTGCCTCTATTCTCTTCGCTAACCCGCGAGGTATCGATAGTATAGAATAAGGTATCCGTGAACGAGGATAGGGTTATACGTATAGACGATAATATGCGGATATTACTTAGCTAGCTCGTAGGCGGGGTGTGGGCTATGTCCGTATATGATAGATATAGGCTCGTCTAAGCATTGCTAGAGATACTATCGGCTATTATGTTTAGCTATTCCTTTACTTATTTTATTTCTTCTTTTACTTATTTTAACTCCTCTGCCGTCTAGGGTTATATTCTCCTTAGCTCTTTTATAATTTGCTCTTATATTTACTTAAGGTCTCTTATAGCCTGTTTATATATGGCTTTAAGCTGCCTAGTGGCTTATTTATGCGAGCGTCTAAGCTTATCCGCCTCCTTTAATTCCTCGGCTACCTAGGCCTTAATCGTCTAGATTTCCTACTAGAGTTGGCGTATTATCTCTAGCTATTCGCTTATTATCTATATTACTATTCGCTAATTCTCTATTAATGCGTCCTAGAGCCTCTCTAATATCTTCTTCTGCTTACTTATTAAATAGGTTAATATCTCTTAGAGTATCACTTAGAATATAATCTATATAGGCGACGCGTAATTACCCGTCGCGCCTTCTATTATCTGCGATTCTCTAGCCCCGTCGACTAATCTAGTCTCGCCTTTATTTTTACTATCCCGCGGCTATTATAGCCTATTCCTCCTCACTATATTATTCCTCTTCTTAATCGCCTATAGCCTTTCCTATAGTTTTATAGTCGGCTTTATGGGTCTCGAGGACCGACGCGCTATAGTAATTAAATCTCTACCTCGCACTAGGATCTCATTAGAAGTTGCGTCTATTTCGCGATACCGCGCCCATGGTCATACCTGTTGAATTGTGGGCTTATCCCTCAATCTGTTATTCTTTTTCCTGGGCTTCTTATCCCTGAGGCTATTCCCTCTTTCCCTTCCGGGCCCCGACGTGGCCTTCCGGATTGGGACTAGCGTAGCCGCGTGGCCGGAGATCAGCCGGCCACGGGTCTCACGTGACCACCCTCAGAGCTATTGTACAGGATCCCGCTTGACAATACCGACCTCTATGTCCCTCAAAAAGATTGTAAAGATTGTAAAGATTCGTGCAACACTTATGCTGTCGACTAAGACCCAGGGGTGCAGTCATGAACGTTTATCGGGCCGACCTCATGCCTACCCTGCGACAGAATGATACGATGCGACTTGGGGCGTACAAGGCATTATGGTTCACCGGCCCGGAATTTTTCCATGAATTACGTCAGATAAATCATTGTCGGGGACTCATACCCGCACAGCCGTTACCTCAGGCACTCAGACCCACACACTAGCCGAATAGACGCAAGCGCTAAGCGCACGTGATTCTGTGTGTGGGCCTGAGAGATTTTTGGCACAATTTGGTGGCTCATCCCTCAGGATACATACATTTTGTATGTGTCCTCAGTTGTAAATTATGTATCCCCATCTGTTACGCCGGACCGATTTCAACAAGAGAATTACAACGCCTCATATCACCTTTAATGCAACAGAAAACATCAAAATAGCTGTGCGCGGAAGATCGATAAAGTCTCAGCTACCGATTGAATTGAGTCTCATTTGGATATGATGCTTCATTGTTGAGATATCGCGGTCGATGCTGGGCGTGCTGCGCAACTTGCTCCCGGTAGTCGACGACGAAGTGTGGTTACTTCCATGAACGGCGTCTTGCGATTATATGTACGATTCCCCAGACATATTTTAACTCTCTGGCAAGCTCCAACTGACGATTCCATCCGGCCAGGTCGCGTCTAGGTCAAATTGCCACCTTGGCCATGGATAGGACGCAATTGGCATCGAGGATTGAAAGTACAGTAGGGTTCAGGCCGCGACCTGGACAAGTGGAGGCGGTATACAAGCTCGTGGTGGATCAGAAAGATCTAATCCTGATTGCGCCTACTGGCTGGGGCAAGAGTGTCGTCTTTCAGGCAGTTCCAGCTCTAAGCGGTGGAATTTGCATCATGATTATGCCCCTGACCCTCCTAGAAGAAGACCAGGTCAGTCTACCTATTCTTGATAGCTATTGGGATAGCTTACCAGACATGTTTTATGCAGGCCAGATCAATATCTAAGATTCCAGGTTGCAATCCATGTATTCTCAACGCAACCACGAACTCGCCAGCATTGCTTGAAGACATCAGGAATGGTACTTATACTCATGGTGAGCGCAAGCTTTAAAGAACTAGGAACCTCAACTACACGCTGATTCCGCAGTTCTTCTCGGTCCAGAGCTTGCGTTATCTGAAGCCTTCAGGAGCAAGGTGCTTAGAGACCCATTGTTCCAAGAAAAGCTGGCTCTCATTGCCATAGATGAAGCTCATGTTGTGTGGGAGTGGGGCCAGAATTTCAGAACATACTACAGGCAGCTGGTCGTACTGAGAAACCTCATTCGCCATTCTCTGCCGTGGCTGGCATGTTCCGCTACGCTTGATCCTCAAACTCTGCTTATGGTGCAGCAGTACTGTGGTTTTGATTCTGGCGTCTGCATCCAACGTTGCTTTATTGACCGCCCAGACATATTCATAGCCGTGAGGCAGATCATGCACCCTGTTACTACGTTCCGAGACCTAGAGTTTCTTGTTGAGCCAGTAAATCATGCAATACGGGAGGCGACGAAAAGCAGTTATGAAAACCAGGCTCGAGTTGCAATCGCGGCAGGACACCTAGACGCAGCAGAGCGGCTTATATCTCTCGGGCTATGCATGCGTCCAGAACAGCCAAATCTTGATATGCGACTCTGGCAAACGCGGTCTTCCTTCGCGTATTCGCTTGACCCTCAGAGGTGCATAGAGTATGAACGAAGTCGCCAATAGACCAGTTCATTTCGTCAACAATATATCGCCAGACCAGGTTAAGCTTCTCTGTGCCATTTCGCCGCTCCCTTCCTATACCGGTATCGGTATTCGCCTGGAGCTCTGGCGAAGGTGACGGCGTGTTGAAGGCTGACAGGTCGCTCATAGAACGGATGGACGAAAGCGGTGATGTAGATGCTTCCATTGTACGTTTCGGCTTAGTTGAATTGTATAGGACGCTGTTGTTACGTTGCATGACGCTGCACATAGTGTGGTGAGCTCATTAGGAAGTTGGGGGATGGCTCACCAAATCGTGTCAAAAATCTCTCAGGCCCTCTGGGAGCCATTACCCCTTTAGGGAAGGCGTCGCGCTGTTAAGCGCGCCCAGTGGTTCTGAGTGCCTGAGGTAACACAGCCGGCTGTGCGCTAGTCATGTGACCTTATTCGCACAGCCGGCTGTTACCTCAGGCACTCAGACCCACTCACTAAGCGAAC